TTACTCTATATGAAGAATTATATGATGCTCAATTGGATTTGAGAGAAGAAAGAAGAATTCGTCAAAATCAACAAGAATCATTTAATAAATTTATCATTTCATTCCAATCAATCTTTGTATAAAATTCATCGATTAAAACTATTTTCTGTCCAATATATCCATTCCAATATGAACTATTTGTTCATTGTTTTTTTGGTTTATCATAAAGTTCATCACGAAATAATTCCAAAAACTATCCAGATTTTCCAGCCCACCAGGTCCATAACAATAAAATGTAAATGGACGCCAAAATCTTTTTCCTTTGTATTTTTTTAAAAATTTTTGTTTATCGTTAATAACTTTCTCTGCATTTGTTGGTGTTGTAAACCAATTAGCTGGTATTCTATTTTTATCAAGTACTACTTGTTTATATATAAGTTCTTGATCACAAATTTTAATCATACGTTTCATATCATCCAATCATAGTTCATTTATATCTTCAGATGTATTGTTATTATCAGAACCTTCTAAAAATCGATAAGTTCCAAATTCAAATAGACCAATTATATCAGATGATAAATAACCATCACCCCACCTTGCATATGAGCGAATACAATTTGTATCACAATATTCACATATTAATGATAAATCAAAATAATCACATTGGCATTTAGAATGCACTTTACATCAATTATAAGTTTTTATAGCATAATTTTTATTTTGTTCTGAATTACTTGCAAGAAATTTTACAAGTGAAACAAAATTATCATTAAGAATAGTTTTTATAGATTTTATAGTTTGACGATTATTAAACTATATATATATTGCATGAAGTTTACCAAAACCTGTAACTTCAAATTGACCACAAATATATGATATGTTCTCACTAATTTCATTAAATGCTGTTTGTTCTGTAGATAAAGAACATATATAGTCTTTTTCATTTGTTATACAATAATTATATTTTATTTGATTATATTTATTTAATTTACAACAATTTGTATATTTTTTTTCTTTACAACGCCAATGTTGTTGTAAACAAAAAGAACATTTTGGAACTCTAGTTGTTTGATATTCAAGTTCTCGTTCTTCTTTATCTTTTAGTGATAATGTTTTATTACATTTAAATTTGTTTTTACAAGGAATACAATGAAAACTAGTTGCACAATTATGATAAAATTGTAATCCCATTTTTTTTTTCAATTTTTTTTTTAAAAAAAATATCTATTATATAAATAATTTTACTTTAATCAATATAAATAAATTAATATAAATAATATATAAAAAATAAAAAAAAACTATATAAAAAAAAATGAAAAGAAAAACAAAAACTAAAATCGCATGTTTAGCTTGTCATATTAAAAAAAGAAGATGTGAAAATTCTATTAATTG